AAAAAAATAAATAAGAAGAATCTATCAAAAGACCTCGACGGACGCCGGGCACGATGCCGTCATCGACGTCGTCGTCCGAGCGTGTCCCGGGATACAGTCGTCCGTCGACTGCCCTCCCTTCCCCTCCCCCCCCCCCCCCCAATGAATTTTGTACCGAAACGTCTAAATGCTAATTTCATACACGGAATTTAATTTTTTCACGAGAAACATGTGCATTATAAAAAATAAATCTACCAAAAAAATCGCAAAAGTCACAAAAGTCGAACCTGCGTTCTGCTTTCATTCGATTCCCTCGTTCCACCCACACATTTCCTTATTATTCCGTCCGGAATCATCGTGCGAGCGACGTGCTCGCGAAGCGCAAAATAAATTAATTATTAACGAATTAACGAAAAATCTGCAGTTCTGCAGTTCTGTTGAAAAAGAAATTTTATATGATCGAGTCGAGTGGAAGGAGAGGTAACGCGATAAAAGCAAAATTTCGAGTAAAATTAATAGCGGAAATGTGCATACGCGCATCGATAAATTTTTATTCAATTATCGGTTTATCAATTAGTCCGCCGTGAAATTCCGAGATTTATGTGATGTACTTGAAAATAAAACGGCACGATCCACGATTCCACGGCGATTTTCACGGAATAATTGCAAATTTGTCATTGAATATAAATCAGATGTTTAATCTCTTTAATTTCGCCGCGGAGGAATTTCTGAGGTAAATGCAATTGACGAGTCCTCGGGCGGAATTGTACGTGCGCATTTCACATACGCGTAATTTCACGCGGCGATGTTGATCGCCCGGAGAAGCCCGGGAGAAGTTATGGGTATAATGCATTCCCGTCATGGAGAATTTCCAATAATACCGATATTACGGCGGCACTTAATCACCTTTCGCAAGGTGTATAAATTAATTTTCCATCCCTGCGTTAATCTCGTATAGCAACGATCAGCAGTAACCGTACCGGACACCATAATTGACACAACGGATTTCGGCCTCCGATATTACAGATTCGTTATTATGAATTATAAATCGCCCGACCCGCGTGCGCGAGCAACGCCCGTACATGGTTTAGCGATTACGTATTAAATTCTGCATTTATCTGCGGCGCGAAATGCGTTATCTACGCACGGGGAAGAATATCTTGCTCTTTACTCTCTTCTTTTTTTTTTTTAATTTATTTATTTATTTCGAAGTGTGCTTTTAAACTTTAAAGCAGAAAGTTTCCGCTTTAAAGTTGTAGGTTTTTCTGCGAAACATCGATGAGAAGGATTCGAAATCTGTTCACCTCGATGCGCAACGATCCTAAATAAAATAAATTCTGCTACATAAAAAATCTCGTATTTTCGTCATATATCTTTCAGATATATTCGGAATACAGTTTTCATATCAATTTTACATAAAAATATGATTGTGTGATCGATAATGAGAAAAAAAATGATAAAGAATGATAAATATGATAAAGAATTATCAAGTCTGAATCTAAAAAACGTATTATTGCTAACGTAGTATTGCTCTCATCGTAGTTACATAAACATTAAATATTGCTAATTGCTAGCAAATTCTGAAAATATTATTTTATAACGTATACACATTTTCATATTTTTTAAACTTGTATAAAATTAGATATTTATATTATTTTTATATACAGTTTATATTATAATATTTTTAAATATTTATATTTCACACACACACGAAAATAAATATTTAAATTATATATATATATAAAATTCATATATTTATATACAATTTATATTATTTTATTTTTTAAATAATTATATATATGTATAAAATTTACATTACTTATATATTTATATGCAATTTATATTATATTTTTTAAATATTTATATATAATATCGTAGAGAAGTAGTTCAAAAATTCGCTGATGCACTTACCGTATTTCCGATGTATTTTGCGGTGCACTCTCGAAAATAACAGCTTAACATGCCGCTATAAGGAAGCCGGCGATTGTCATGCGACGAACGGAAGAAAAAGATTAACGGGTTGTGTCGGATTTGTGAGTCCTTTAATCCAACATATAATATACTCGATACGTGAGCGCGCAACCGATATATATATTATACATCCCACGGTTCATATGCATTTTTGTCCACATGCGATGATAAATATATGGTATATCACGCGAGAGAACGAGTCGTCTGCGATATTCGAAAGAAAAGTCATTTTATTAAATCATTTTATTTTGCGAGAAAAAACAAGCGGGACGAAATGAATAGGGGGAGGGGAAGGAGGAAGGAGAGATTTAAAATATCCTCGAAATATACTATAATTTAAAAGAGCGGAATGGAGGAAGGAGGATGCTCCGCTTTATTATTTCGCTGTAAATAATTCTTGGCGTTCCCCGGATGGAGGTGGAGGGAAGGGGTTTATCGTAAATACTTCCCCGACGTAGTTGTTAAACGAGACGACGGGATTTCTTAACGTTAAGATTGGCAGAATTCCATGCTTTTCGCGATCGGCGGAACGCGAGGGGAAGACGTAAGGGCAAAAAGCGTACGACTTATCAGAAACTCCTGACCGTATGTTTTCACAGATAGAGATACGATACACCGTGTACGCACGCACCCCCCCACACACACATACTCACTCACCCCCCCCACACACACACACTCACTCCACCCCCCCCACACCACCACCACACCACCTCCACACCACACACACACACGCGCGCGCGCGCGCGCGCGCGCACACGCACACGCACGCACGCACGCACACCACACACACGCACACACGCACGCACACGTACGTATGCACACAGGCGCACGTAGCGAAGGCAATCAGGAGAGATCTCGGATGAACCAATTGATTACTCGCGCTCTGTGTGCAGGCGAAATTAAAAAAGTTGGCTTCCAGATCGACGCCTCGGTAAACGCCTCGGCCGCTAATTTCCCCGATACCGAAACATCCACTCGCGGCGCAGCCAGCGTTTCACGCTCGCAATATCAATTATCGCTATCCGTTCCCGTTCGTATGCCGATAATCGTCGCGGATACGAAGGTATACGGTGCGTGTGGCGTGTGTAGGAGCGGGTAATAACGCGCGCAAATTGCGCGACGATTATGCGGGCGACGTGACGACACCGTTCGCACACGCAACGCTCGGGATTCTCTCGTTCTATAAACCCCCCCCCCCGCTCCCCCGCAGGGGAGGGTTTTTATTACCTTTGCTTGGTGATTTTATAAAGGCAATAAAGATAACGCGCCCTCTCTTCTTCCATTCGAATCGTAACCCAAGGAGGAACTGGGACACGCGGGAATATAACGTTTCGAGTATGTGCGAATAGTGGCTCTTGACAAAGGGTCTAAAGGTGTCGAGAGGTGGAAATATATTATTTAATCGGATTATTTTACAAAGAGATAAAAAGCACGTGACTCGAATCTTATTAATTAATAACTTTCGGCGTTATTTATTTATAACTCGCTAAAGTCTATCGACGATAGTCGTCGTTGTATAAATCAGAGCGCTAATAAATCGGAGGAAAGCGTGTAAATTTATTACGCTTTTGAAAAAAATTGACGGACAATAAATTTCACGTCTGAGACGCGATACAGGATACTACTTTGGTCGGCTGTATCGTCTCGCTGTATGTGTCTCGGTGTGTGCGTCGGGCCAAATTGGCCCGATCGACGTCCACCCTACGATCAAACGCGTTCCTCTTTTATTCGAGGAACATCTTCGAACCGGCCGGCCGGTGGTCGCCCGCGCGGTTACAGGATCCGTTCAAATCAGCCTTCCTTCTCCTTTTGCGCGCACTTCAAAGCGCCGCCGGTCGCCAAGTATTCCCGTAGTCAGCTAGACAGGAGCTTAAAGCAATTTCGGCCAGGTGTGTGCCCCGGTGCGGTGGACAGGCGACTTGGTGAAATCTCTTCAGGGCGTCGCAGAGGGTCCCGATCGCCTCGTCGACCCTCTCCTCCTCCATGCTGGCCAATCCACGGTCGTAGAGGGCCTCGCACTCCCTCAGGCACGCGAGCTGATCCTCCAAGCAGATCTTCTTTTGACAGCCCGAGCATTTTATCAGCTTACCCGGCCGCTGTTGGGCTCGCGAGTGCAGCCCACCGCATCCCGCCGTTGGACACCTCGGGGGGGAAAAAACGTCAAAAGCATATTTCGTGGATTCTTTTTTCTCGCGAGGATTTTATTGTGGTATCATCGGGTATATATATCGATAAAAATCAAATACCTATCGAATTAAATGTAATGTAAGTCAAGAAGCTCGACGTATTTTTTGTCTATAATTTATCTATATGTATTTATCTATAATTTATCCATATAGGAACATTCTTCTAAGAATGATGTTAATTTTAAAATGCAATGTAAATTTTGTAATAATCATTATTAAGGAAATTTTTATCCAAAATCACCAGAGATCTTTTTAACTTCTTATAACTTTAATTTTCTATCAATTTCAAATTTTGATTATCGATTTGTTAAAGAGAAAATAATTAAGCCTACAGCTTTGAATTGTTACGTCAAAATTACATGATGTTCCGCGATATAAGCAATTATTCTAAATTTATGGATATAAATTTAAAAAGAAAATTTATTAAGCATCTAAGATCCTATGTACCGAGTAATGCCATTTATTATTCTATTTTTGTTCTTAAAACAATTTGCATATGTAATTATTGATAGTAAATATTGATTTTGCAATATAAATTCATAGTTAATTCCAAACTTTAAATATTTTATTGTAAAAATTAGATTTCTAGATATATACAAGATTTCTGATTCCTTTTTAATTATAAAAAACCAAATTATTTGGTTACCAAAAAATACAACAATGCTATATTAAATTATAATAAAATTATAATAAAATTGAAAGAAGAGTTAAATGTTAGACATATATATGTGTAATTTCAATATTACGTTATAGAGGGTTAATGACGTTATATTACGTTAATTACGTTAATTATTTATAATTATGTTATATTAAGTTATAGAGGGTTAATGATAATTTAAAATTGATTTTTTTAATGAAAATAGCAAACAACATCTTTTCATCCGTTTACAAACAAAAAATTAGTCTTAAAACTACTCGAATATTGTATAAGCTATAT